CCAAATGCGCTGACTTTCTATATCACGAGGGGGTTTGAATTGCTAGAGGACACTTTGTTAGGACAAATACATGAGGGGGTTTGAATTTCTATCACCCTTATAGTCTCCATACAAATACATGTTAGGACACTTTGTTAGGACAAATACATGAGGGGGGTTTGAATTTCTATCACCCTTATATTCTCCATACAAATACATGTTAGGACACTTTGTTCTTCTTTGTCCTTTATTTTATCAAATACATATGCTGCTAGAGGAATACCGAAAAGGTTTTGAATTGCTAAAATGTCGATTGAGAAACAAATTTAGGTATAGTTGGATCAAAGTGAATGCGTATTTATCTTAGTTTGTGTGTAATAACAACGAACATGAGCAAAGACCATCTAGAAAGTGTGAGAGTTTTTTATTTGGTGACATTTTATTTCTCTACATGCATGATTTTATCTTACAGTTTCAAGGGTGTATGTCTTTTCTACTTGATTTTGTGAAGTGCGACGACGAAAGAAATTCGAAAAACTATAAAAATGTGCTTACAAAGAGATCTTCAGTAATTTGTAACTTGTGTGTTTATTAAGCTCCTAAAATTTGTTAATATTTATTTATGATTCTCTAAATCATGTGATAAAAATTGTGATTTATGACTATGTTAATATATCAACATTTACAATAAATCTATATATCATCCCGTGCAACGCACGGGTGAAAAACTAGTATGTATCATTATTATAATACTCCTAATATAGTAATCTCGTAATTTATTTCGCATATATAGGTGCATGATGGGTGGTCATGGACCCACCGTAGAGTTTAAAGCTTGTTTTGCTCCATTAATGTTATTCTGTATGGACTTAATCATCCCTAAATTGATATCCAATAATGTATGTCTTTCTGAATGGGATGCTTAATTTTTTATGCCTAACGATACATATATTGATTTGATTTCTTTCTAATTTGGATTTCAGTACTTTGTTCATGTAATTTAGTCCGTAAATTCTATCGTCATCCTATGGAAATATGTCGATAGGTCGAATTATAGATAGTGACCCAAGTATATAAACTATTGCTCCGTAAGTTATAAGATTATGGCTATGTTTGGCACACAAAAGACTCTAGCTTCTAGCTTCTCTATTCTTTAAAAAGACCTTAAAAGACTTTAGTTGTATGTTTGACATGACATTTTTTAAGAGCTTTTCAAAAATTAAAAGATCTTTTTTGAGATGTTACCGGGTGTAGCATCTGAGAAAAGCTCGTGACTTTTAGTATTAATTAGTCCTAACAGCTTGTATACCAAACCGAACTAAATCAAATAGTCAGCTTTTTACCAAACAGCTATCACCTTTTCTTTTAAAGATCTTTTCAGTCACTAAAAGCTAACAATTACTAAAAAGCTCGTAAAAGTATCTTTTTAGCTAGTTGTGCCAAACATACCCTATAACTAATCCGGTTGGCTGTTAGCTGTTTGGCTGTTAGCTGATCCTGTTGGTTGATTGATAACAACGGATTTTATTGGCTGTTTTGATTAGCTGATTGTATGAAAAATGGTTTTTGATTAAACGGTTGTTTATAATCAGATGATAACTTTTTTTTTTGAACAATGCGGCTTAAATTGATATAACAGCATTCAGCAAGGGAAACAGAAGATAAAGGAACCACTTCCAACCACCGACCCTCGAAACAGCCTTAGAACCAATCACCTTGTAAAAAGCAATATGGTTCGTTGATCATGTAATGGGTCTATATGAGCCTAATGTGGCCAGAGTAAACCCCTCATCGCCCCCAACATAATGCAAGAGTCTGACAAAAATAAGCGTACATGACAAACAAAATAACATGTAGTTCGAAGTAAATTAAAACACAAACAAAGTAAAACAGAAATAGAAATAGTCATTCAAACCCTAGTCGCACAACTCCTCCATGGCGGCGGTTGGGGAGGGGGGCGGATCAACATCTTTTCGTCTTCTTTCACCCGTAGGCTCCTCGTCCAGAATCAGATCGTCCTCATTAGGGTTGTAAACGAATCAAATAATTTGTGCTCGATTCGCGATTCGAATTCTTATAAGATGATTCGAATTCGGAAAATTCAAATACAAATACAAATAAGAATATTAAATTTGATTCGAGTTGTTATCAAATACAAATAAGAATATCAGTGTATTCGATTCGAATATTAATCAAATATATTCGATTCATAATAATGGTAATATTAATATCAATATTAATAATAATAGTAATAACACTATAATAACTTTTAAAAGGTCGCAATACCCTCAAAGTGCAGACCATATATACATTTTTGCATACAGATTCCAGGTCCATTTAATTTGTAATAAACCATAATATAAATACGAATACAAATCAATTTTTTTGGTTCAAATGTCTTTCAAATACAATACAAATAATTATGTATTTGATTTGAACAATAAAATTAGAGTTGTTTGACTTTGATATATACAATTATCAACTTATTTCACACATTATGAGTATAATTTCTAATATGTGTGTGTTATGTTTATTTCAAAAGGTTTGAAATAGATTTATATATATTAATCATAAAATTAACTCACTTTAGTATATTGTGCACCATCTAAAAATGCATTGGTCCACTAAATTTAAATTCTAAAAACACATATTAAGTCATAGCATGCATTTACAACATAAAAAATAGGGAGTATTAGAAAATTTATTTTAAAGTGATATTTGACTAATATTAACCTATGCTTAAATTGATTCGATATTCGTATATGATTCGTTAACTATTCGTATTGTTAAACAAATACAAATATAAATCGAAATTAGTATTCCTTTCATATTTGAATTCGAATTCGTATTCGAAAAATTAAACAAATACAAATATAAAATCTCATTATTCGACTCGATTCGGTTCGTTTACAACCCTAGTCCTCATCACCCTCGAGAATCATATCATCACATTTGTTGACCATCTCCTCCATCTCCACCTTGCTCAAAGACCCTTCGAAGCACCGGTATTACTCTCGACAGAAAGCAACGCCCGCGAATTCTTCTCACTGCCCGCACGTCCAAACCAAAAATAAGATCTGCACAATAAAAGAAAACAAAGAAACCACCGGCTGGAACAAGGAATCTGCAGGAGACAGAATCCGATATGCCATAGGAAGAACGACGAAACTTAAAAACTGCCCATTCCAACCCTAATAGCTAGGGAGACGACCGCGGTAAAAAAACACATGTTGCCGATTGATAAGCAGAAAAAAGAACCAGCATCAGCTGATAACTTGTTAAATGGCTATTAAGGACATGACTTAATTTTTAGTTAATTTAATTAATAATATAACTTTCCAAACCGTTTGTATTATTATTACTATTACTATTATTATTATTATTATTAGTATTTAATACAGAGTAATACTCCATCTGTCCCGTTTAAATCTTTACACTTCCTTTTTGGGATGTCTCATTTACTCCTTTACGTTTCCTTTTTTAGAAACTCCTTTCATACTAAATTGTCTTAACTACCCTTTATATAAAATATCTTACCCACCCACATATCTTAAGTCCTGATGGCAAAGCAACTCCAGAGCATGTATCCAGTGTTCTTCTTGACCAACGACGGATTCCTTTGCCCAATATATATTACCTCTTCAATTTTTTAATTCATCAAGGCTGTTAATTAGAGATATATCTAAAGCCCTGCAGCCTAAAGAAGAGATGGTTGACGGCTCTCTAGCGGCATCGCCAGAGAAGAAGTGGAGAATTGGCGACCAAATTGGAGGTCTAGCTCGTGGCGGCGACTGGGACTCATCAGTTACGTCCAACGGTGATAGATGAGAAGTTCGTGGCAGACACTGGGACTCTTCACTTGCATCCGACTCTGAGACTCCCGTCACATCATCGACCATAAGCTAGGCGATTGACCAATCGGGAAAGGCATTGTTTCCGATATAGAATAGCGAGATGGGGCTTCCATGGTCACGACAGGTCAAAATGTTGTACGCGTTTGGGATGCCCGTGGGGCTTTGGTCGAACCAGATCTAGGGGGCAGCAGAGCTTGGAAATCGGAGAAGAAGGCCTTCTTTGGGGTCTGGCTTGCCGGATTGCAAACCAAACGAAGGTTTCTGTGGTCCGTACTTCCTTCTTTCCCATTTCGCTCTACAACCTGGGCGAAGGTTTCCGGCGTTGCAGCTTCTCTGTCTTTGGACACGGCACCGGTTGCCCGATTGTGGTTGGGGATGACGCGTTGGATGAACGACTAAAGATAAAGGGCAGAAAAGGTTTTATCTCTTCAATTAATTGCCCTCCTAAAAAACCGTTCCAAAAGCAAACGTAAAGATGTGTCCGGGACGGAGGGAGTATTTGTTACATAATGAAGTTAAGTGAGTATGGAAGGCAAAGCCGAAGCAATATGTTTTTGGTAGCCATTTAAAGCTTTTAATTATGTTTATATATAGGGATGGACCCGGGCCGGGCCGGTTCCGGTTCCGGGCCGGGCCCGGGCGGGCTTTTTTTCGGGTTACATGGGCCCGGAACCGGCCCGGGTTGATACCGGGTCCGGGCCTAACCGGGCCGGGCCGGGCCGGGCCCGGTTCAATGTTTTTTTTTTTTTTTTTTTTTTGACTTTCTTGTTATCTCCCTACCCCCCCCCCCCCCTCACCCCCACGCCCCAAACCTCCCTAAAACACCCAGCCCTACCCTAGGAAAAGAAAAAAAATTGAAAAAACCAAAAAAAAAAAAAAAATGAACCGGGCCCGGCCCGAACCGCCCGGGCCGGTTCAACAAAAACAGGGCCCGGAACCGGCCCGCCCGACCCGCCAAAACGGGCTAAAAGCCCGGAACCGGCCAACCGGGCCCGGTCCGGTCCGGGCCCGCACAGTAGCGGGCCGGTCCGGTTCCGGGCCGGTTCGGCCCGGCCCAGTCCATCCCTATTTATATATAGTTCAAATGTACGGAACTGATTACTGAGCCAGGAGATGATTAACTTATATTCTCATTGATTTATCGGAGAAGAAAGCAATTTGGATGGAGAAACACAAATGGAAGCAAAAAGCAAACATCAAAATCCAGCCAATTGAAAATCAGAAACTTTGTTCATGAAAATTCATCAAATAAAAGGTGCTGTACTGTACATCCTGCCAATAAGGTTCATACACAAAGCCTAATGTATTAAGAAAATATTGACAGGCCTAAAAAGAACGCTGAAATGGCTCTATTATTGCAGTAGTAAGAAACAGGGGTAGATAGATTCAACTGAATAAATCAATAACAGAAAATGGTTATCTACAGTGAGGAGGGCAGAGCTATGGCTTAAAGACATTGTCATAAAGAGCATTGTTCGGCAAAGCATAAAGATGACTGCAAATAAATCAGTAAAGCTTTATCCTTGTGTTGATGGTGTCCCGACAAATCGGGCATGATTGAAGGCTTTGTCCACATTCGCAGCAAGTCTGCAAGGAGGAGAAGACATCTCACGGATGCACTCAACTAAACGGATTTTCATTTAGGGTCTCTGGATGGAGGAAAAAACTTTGCAGGGACCAAATGGAACAATTTTTAACACATACAAGTGATTTACATGTTATTCAACATACTCAGTATTATGTTAATCTTTCATTTTTGAGAAAAGGGGCAAATAAGGTCACATACTAACAAAAAAAGGTCAAATAAGGCCTTATTTAACGAGCTCTGTCCGGCCGTCACCATTTGGGGTGGTTCCTGGAGGAATTTTTTGATGAATTTTTTTGAGCATCTTATTCGGTAAGTCTAGTTTACTCATACCAAATTTCAGCTAAACCTTCAATCGGGAAGGCATTCAAATGAATTCTTAAAGATAACTGTGTAGTTAAAAGTGCAATTATCTTCAAGAATTCATTTGAATGCCTTCCCAATTGAATTGTTAGCTTAAATTTGGTATGAGTAAACTAGACTTAATGAATAAAATGCTCAAAAAATTTCATCAAAAAATTCCACCAACAACTACCCCAAATGGCGAAGGCCGGGCAGAGCCTCAAAAATAAGGTCTTATTTGACCTTTTTTGGTTAGTACGTGGCCTTATTTGCCCCTTTTCCCTTCATTTTTTATCGAATCCGAAATACTTCCTTAGTTTTTTAGTTGCAAAGCAAGACTTTGACCATTAATATTTAATCGGCTTTTACTAAAAATTATAAAAAGTTCATAACTTGAAATTTTACAGACTAATTTAATACTCCCTCCTCCCATAAAATTCTTCTCAGTTTAACTTGGATCAGAGTTTAACAAAATGGGAATAAAATGAAAATGTATGATTGTGGTTGAGTAAGAAAAATGTAAATGAATGTTAGCCACACAAAACTTTCTAAAAGGAGACATGGAAAGAATTTTTGGGACATCCCAAAATGGTAAGAGGGAAGAATTTTATGGGACGGAAGGAGTAATATTTTTCAAAATATGACTTTTAATACATAATAATATGGGCAAAGTAGAGAGTGCTAATAATATTGTGAGTCAAATGCTTGCAACTAATAAAGAATGGGCGTATAGTATATATATAAGTGAAACCCTCCAATCCAAACAGACCCTAAGGAAATACAGTACATGAATGAAGGAAATAAGTTACCTGATGTCCACAGCCAAAAGCCATATCTTTTTTATTGGTAATGCAGATTGGGCAAAGCTATAATAATAAATAATAAATATATAAGCAAAAGAGTAGAGCAGAGTAATCAATCAACGTAAAGAATTTAATGAGCCTTATTTAGAGGTAGTTCCCCCAAAATTATAATCACCAGAAGTTATGCCACTTCCATTGTTAGGTCCTGAGCTTGAAACCCGGGAACTACTATAGGAAAGAAAAGTTGGAACATTTTTTTATGAAAATAAAAGATAATTTCAGACTTAATAGATTCTTTTTAAATGTTTATCAAACATTCAAATTCCTTTTCTAATAACTTTATTTCAATCATATTTCAATTGCATTTCCATTTCCCCAGCATGAGGAAACTAACTAACCTTATAATAGTTTCCATGGATACCGTTAGTCTAAAAAAGACGCAACATTCTATATTGAATCAAATACTAATTCTAGAAGAAAGTGTTTACATGGTTGTCAGAAGAACTTGCAGGTTGACTTGTGGAAACAGAGGAACCATGTCTAGCATATGAAGGTGCACTCGGACCAAAACCGCAACTTATTTGTGAAGGTTTTGATGTGTTAAGAGAGTTTGAGCCATAACGAGGAGGAGGGAGAGCAACCCTGTCTATTTCCTTCCCACGGCTTGCACTGTTTGCAAATCGCAAATAATTGAAAACAATGAGCATATATGTTCAATGCCAAAAAGTAGTTTAAACAATCTCTCTGTGTGTGTAACCAGGGGGGGGGGGGGGTGATCAAATTTGATTTTCTACCCCAATATATTGAGTTCCAGCGTAGCTCTATACTGAGAGGGAATTTCCATCAATGCCGAAAGGGCAAACTCCGCTTCTTTTCTGGTTCTATCCAAATTTTTTGCCATTATTTCTGTGAAATTAACAAACTAAAGGGGGGAAAAGAAAAAAAAGGTGTTACTTCTCTCAAAGCCTGCTTAAGCATCAAGGAAGAAGAAAATCAATGCTAAAAGCATATAAGCATAAGAAGATGTTTCCTTACTTGGAAATTGTCAAAGGCTCGTGCAGGAATATTGTCGTCGAATTCCCTCATCATGTCCCATGGTCCGTCACCAACTCCAACCAATATAATTGACAAAGGATACTGACTGATAACAAATAGCATGTTAGGTAAAGGGGCAGCAGAAGTGAGATAATAATGATATACTTTATACAATTAATAGGTAATGTTCACCTTGCTCTCACAATTGCTTCAACAGTTCTCATTTCTTGAGGGCTTAATTGACCACATCCCGTATCTACACTTCTCGTCACCTATCAATTATTAAATGATATCAAATTTTACAACACACAACCACTTGAAGTTCTGCAACAATTATCTCAACTCATTGTCATCACTCATCACAGGATATTTCTCATACAATTAGAATTTACCTACAATGATGGTGGTTTTGATTTTCATCCTGGTAGTCCTTTGTAAGAAAATTTGTTTTTGCATGAATTTATACTGTTGGCTAATTTTCACTAAAGATTTTATTGTATGCCACTGGAGCCAACTTGTTGTCAGATTGAAGTGGTGATCACAACATATTTCATATTAGCCTGCGTGGTGGGTAATGTTTGGCTGAAATGGGTTGAATTTTGTAAAACGGAAAAGTGTGTGGTAACATCCATTCTAGACAAGTCAAAAGCTCCTTATTCTGCTGATAAGCACAATAAGCCAATAATGTTTACCAACGGAGCCAAATGTATGTGTGCCTTCAAATATGATTAGTGTAAATTTTAGCTTTCAACCCTGTATGTGTATTTGTATTTGTATGCTGAATGTAAATTTGAGCAACTACACCCACCATGAAGAAAAGTGTGTGTTTTGTCACTCACTAGCCAAGATGTTACCTGCCCATCAGCGATAATCAGTAAGACATGGTACTGTCCACCACTTTGTTCAACAATGGTGATCGCCATTTCGATAATAGGCGCAAAAGATGTCGGCCCTATATATAAAAGAAGAGAGAGAGTATGACACATTTATCAAATAAAAAAGGTCAAAAATGAGAGCAATTGACTAGAAGTATCACCGGCAAGTCGTAACTGAGGGACTAATTCTCTATATCTGCTCAATACTTCTTCAAATCCATTGCAAAACCTTTCATCCGAGAAGAAACTGAAAACTTCTTGGTCATGTGTGGAGGCTGCACATTAAATGACCATAGCATATATATATATATATATATATATATATATATAGTGAGAGAGAGAGAGAGAAAGACATAATATAAGATTCTTTGTGATACACAAGCCCCAGAAGAAAATGACAATTTCTAAATAACAAAAGTACCATCTCCAAATCCAAAACATGGAATTAAGTTATCCTCGTCAAATTTTGACAATGTTCTACCAATGATAGATATTGCTTGTTCATAAGGATTTTGCTCATTCCCAATGTGATGCAAACTCTTTCGGTGGAATGACCTCGCACCTAATTTATATTTTGACAAATGTTAAATCTCACACTAGAACCATAAATAATGGGTTTTTCCTTCAAAATTTATTTATATAATCATACCTGTCCACTCGTTGCTCTTGGTGAAATCAATGCCAACAATTAAGTTTGATGACTCTAAACCAGCACGTGCAAGGGCATCTGTGACCTGAACAATGAAGGCAAAGGTGGTCCAAACTAGTAGGGGTGGCTTACTTACATACAATCATACAATCTTACAACACAGTCCCTCATTGTCAATTTGGTGTAACTCAGTCCCTCATTTCTTAAAAAGTTGTCAATTGAATCTGTGACACCATAATTATGGAGTCATAAAACTTGTACATTCACTCCTCTGTCATCTTATCTTTTTTGTGACTAAATAGACAACTTTTTATATAATTTAGGGAGTCGTTTTTCACAGTGGCAAAAGGGCTGACTATACTGCAGAAGTGGGAATAAATGAGTGACCATAATAACAGTTCTCCCGAAAAGATGTGAACTTTATTTCTACCCCAGAAAGTTCTAGAAGAATAAGAGCATGTCCAATGCTACAACAAAAGATCTTTTATAATGTGAACAACTACAACTACTACACATGTCAAGGGCTGATCAGGTAGTGATAAATGTAGATATGTGTGCTTGTGTGGCACACACACATAACATTGCTATAGTTATTTCATATTGCTACAGCCACACAATTTCATATCTGATATACAATGAAAATAGAAATATTTCAACATAAAATAATTAGAGAAAGCTATTGGCTTTCAACATAATAAAGAACATTAAAATTTTGAGGAAAAAAGAGCATTAGCTCACCTGATCTAAGGTGTGGTAGTTATCTTCAATTTTTGAAAATTTCCTTTCCAAACGTTTCCTTGATTCAGGAGGTGGGCCGCCACAGGTTTGGTTAGGAGGAGGTGATGCATAACTGTAGGTAGGCTGAGGATACGGTTGTGAATATCCATAATGGCCCGAATAAGAACCGGTGCTATATGATGCATACCGGCCTGAAGCAGCAGATGACCGCTTTGAGTTTTTGCCACCCATGAATTCTTCAGTCTAAACAGATTTTGAAACACCAAACACGAGTCAAAGATCCCCATGCCAAGGCAATAACCACTATCAAGCTAATAGTAAAAGCATAGACACGACTATGTCAACAAAATAATCAAGCAGACCAGGTTGCCAAATTGAAGCCTATAAAAATAGAGCAGTGAATATCACTTTTGGCAAGCTAATAGTCAATAGTCATCATTTACCACTTTGGTTTGAGCCATATTAAGGATGTAATGATAAAAGTATAGGAAAAGACTCCCAGATTGCAAGTTCCAGAATATTAAAGTATGAAAAAGAAATACTGAATTACAGGGAAAAGGTTTCTTTCAAAACAGCCATAGATTATTTTTATAGTGTTTCTTCTTTCTATTGAAATCAATTAATGACCAAAGTCACCAAACTGGGCAATTGTTTTACTACACCACTGGATAATTAGAATGATATTAGCAGATATTTCACACGAATTATATGCAGACATTGAAGTTGAAATAATGTACTCACTCACCACTCACCAGCAGTCCATGAAATTTTCCAAAGGTGCAATCTTTACGATTAATGAGAAAAACTAAAAATAAATCACAGAAAAAATACCACAAAAAATCGGACCTTTTTAATCGAGCTGTTCTTGACGGCGGAGAGAGAGGCAGAGGGAAGATCGAGGCCTGTGTATGGGGGCAGCAAAGGTAAAAGCTTTTCTGAGCGGTTTTTGTGTTTTACTACTACTTCGTCAGTGGGACCGACCAACAGTGCCTTCCTTAGTTTTTGTTTCCCAGCTAAATACGTTTCTCCGGTCTCCATTAAAGCTAGCTATTTGGCTTTAAATTCTACACTTTACGAATTTCTCATTTAAAAAATGTGTCACACTTTGCTCTATTATAAATTTATAATAGAAATTGTCCTGAATAGAAGTAAAAACGTTTTGAAATCCCAATAGACATTGAGCATGTGCGGAATTCTAGCGAGGTCGTACACATTCTAGGGCTTACGTGCTGAGCTATCTGTTATGCATAGCTATCTGGCAGCGACAGAGATTTAACGAAAAAGACGTGGACATAAAGGAGTAATAAATGAAGAATAATGAGATACGTTAGAGGAGTCCCATCATTCATCATGACTATACCTATTTAATGTAGGAAAAATTGACAAGAATAATCCCACCTTTCACTGGTCTTCTCATAATAATCCCACCTTTAAATAACCCCAAAATAATCACATCTTTGCACCTCATCTTCTTTCATTGGACCCTGACCATGTTTTTTACTCTTTCTTTGAAAATTATACAAATAATCTCACTTTTCACTTTTTAATTATATTCTTATAAATGTGAGATTATTTATATAAGATTTTTAAAAAAAGTAAAAAACTTGGTCAGGGTCCAATGAAAGAAGATGAGGTGCAAAGGTGTGATTATTTTGGGATTATTTAAAGGTGGGATTATTATGAAAAGACCAGTGAAAGGTGGGATTATTCTTATCAATTTTTCCTTTAATGTATCAGTTATATCTCCTTAGGCTACTATAGCTCTATGTCTACAAATCCTTCTTGTACTTAGGGCTGTGCAAAACCGACCCAACCCGAATGACCCGATCGGATTTATCCAATTTTAGGGATATGGGTCGGATTACCCGACCCAAGTAGTACAACCCGAGCCGGCGTTAGGTATTTGGACGGATAGCGGGCTTCGGGTAGGGTTTGAATATCAGCTACCCGACCCGCCCGACCACCCGAGATATATGGTCCATATATATACTACATATTACCCAACCCCACACCCATTAACCAATCGTTCATCGCCTCTTTCCTTCAAACCCTAAACGCCACCTTCTCACTTCTCAGTTCTCTAACTTCTCTCTAAAATCTGATTCTCTCAAACTTGGCCATCGTTGCCGGCTAGCAGCCATTGCCGTATGAGTATTTGACATATGTCTTCGATGGCCGTCTGAGACGATTGAGTATTTCACTTCTCTAGTTCTCTCTTTGTCTTTGACTTCTCGGTTCGTAATTCGTATTATGACTTATGTCTGTCTTTCATACTTGATATGTTGGTTTGTCTTCATCTATTGCAGTCCATCTGTGTTCTGAGAAACTCATAGTCCAGTGGAAGCCCATAGTCCGAAACTCCGAATTCCGAAACTCTGCCCTTCTGCAGTTCTGACTTCTGTGACCCAATCTTTTTTGTTGGAGAGTCGAGCATCACAGAGGTATAAAATTAATAAAACCAATGTTTAATGTTAATTGAATCCTTGATGATGAATTCATGTTGTTTCAATGGAAGTATTAAGATTGAGACTATGACAATCGTAATCCCTTTTAATTGTTCACTAAGTATTGATTATATGCTGACTGAGTATGAATGAGTATTTGGGTTACGGTTTCTCAATAAATCATTATGGCATGCATTCTGATCTGTATAATTGTATATCCATAAGTGGAAGCTTGAATAAGGTATTGTTGTTTTTGGACTTTGTACATCAGAGTGATGATGAAATGGTTGTGTGTTGTTTATGAATTCAGAGTGTCAACACCTCAGAATGATGATGAATTGGTTATTAACTTATTTGGTTGATTTTTTTCTGAATTCTGAAAGTACAATGTCATGTACTCATGCCACCATGGGGAAGCTTATGATGTGCATTGTGTAACGTGTTGCTTATTTGTACATAACTTCACTTATGTTTTAATGAAAATGCCTTTTGTACTCTGGTTCTCAAACGAGTAATGAGAGTTAATTCGTTTCTTCTAAGTATGTAGAGAAGTGATTATGCACGCTGCATATTATCCTTTTGTAGATCATCTTGCTGATTGTTCCAGACTTAATGTATCATGTAATCATGTATGCTGTTACTTGACTTGTAATCTTACAAGTGTATGACATAAACAATATGATGAATGAATCATTGATGATGACTGCAGCTGATGAGTGGAAGTTACCCTCATATTATGTTTGTTTTCTGAATGTACAATGTCATGTCATAATGTGGAAGCTTATGATGTGTAATGTGTTGCCTATTTGTACATAACTGCACTTATGTTATGATGAAGAAGCCTTTTTGTACTCTAGTACTCAAACGAGTAATAAGAGTTCACCGGTTTCTTTTAAGTCTGTAGAGAAGTGATTATGCACACTGCATATTATCCTTCTGTAGATCAGCTTGCTGATTGTTCCAGACTTGATGTATCATGTATGGTGTTACTTGAGTTGTAATCTTACAAGTGTATGACATAAACATTATGATGAATTGATGATCAGTGGGAGCTACCCTGATAATATGTGACTTTAACAACAACATGATTATGCAACTCCCAATGCAGAGATGGAAGGTCAAACTCCTGAAAGTGAGAACATATCTTTATCTGGATCTCAACCTCCTTTGAGTCAAGAAACAGTGGTGGAAGCTGAAATTGGTGATCCTAACACTACCAATGACCCAACTGCAGTCACAGCACCACCTCTTGTTTCTGGAAAAAAAAAAAAACAGGTTGAAGTCAGATCTAAGATTTGGGAGTACTTTACCAAGATTAAGGATAGAAAGGTGTGGTTATTAAGGGAAAGTGTGATTACTGTGCCAAAATATATTGTTGTCACTCAAAAAAACATGGGACTTCCTCCATCATAAATCACATGCTTAGCTGCTAAAAAAACCCTCATGCTAAAGACACTAGACATGCCCTCTTAACCTTTCAATCAGTCCCTCCACAGACAGGTCAACCTTCTGAAAATATTGGGGTCATAGGAACATGGGTCTTTGATCAAGATGCTATTAGGAGAGCTCTAGGAGAAATGGTAATCACTTATGAGCTTCCTTTTAGATTTGTAGACATACAAAGTTTTAGGAAGTTTGTTTCTGTAGCATGTCCTAGATTTCAAATTCCTTCTAGGTGGACAATTTCTAGAGACATCTATCAAATATATCTTGATGAAAGACGTATCCAAAAAAAGATGTTCAGGGAACACAGTCAAAGAGTCAATATAACCACTGATACATGGACCTCTGTACAGAGGATAAATTACATGTGTATAACTGCTCATTTCATTGATGATCAGTAGAAGCTTCAGAAAAGAGTCATTTCCTTTGTCCCTGTCACTTCTCGCAAAGGGGAGTACCTAGCTAAAGCCCTAGAGAATTGCTTGCTTGAGTGGGGTCTGGGAACCATTTATACTGTGACTACTGATAATGTTAGTAGTAATGATACTGTTGTTGGGTTTTTTAAGAAAAAATTAATATCTTGGGGTGCTTCTTATGTGAAACTAAAGTATGTTCATATGTGTTGCATTGCACACATCTTGAACTTAGCTGTCCAAGATGGCCTTAAAGATGTTGACACTTCTGTCATGAGAATTAGGGAAGTTGTTAAGTATGTTAAGGAACTCACATGCTAGGCTTCAAAAGTTCAAAGATATATCTAACTTGATAGGAGTGGAAGTTAAGTGTGGTCTGCACCTGGATGTTCCAACTAGGTGAAATTCCACTTACCTGATGCTTAAATCTGTTATTTCTAATGAGAAAGTGTTTGAAGCCTATGATGAGAATATAAGTGCATTTGGTACTGATTTGGGTACTGACATTCCCGATGTTTTAGTCTGGATTGCAGTTGAATCTTTTGTGAACATTTTACAAAAAATTTATGAATTGACTCTTAGAATTTCTGGCTCATCCATGTTACCGCCAATACCTTTTTTCTGAAATATCTGATTTATTCCTTGTCCTAATAGACATGGTTGCCTCTCAAACTGCTTCTGCCAGTGCAATGGGGACTACTATGAAATCTAAATTGGACAAGTATTGGGGTGATCCTGAAAAAATGAACTCATTGATCTTATTTGCAAATGTGTTAGACCCTAGGGACAAGTTTGAGTATATGCCATTTCAGCTCAATGCTTTATCTGTGGAATTTAATAATGCTGAGAACATGCCAGTGTCAAGATTTAAGGCTGAGCTATAAAAAAAAAACTAGAGAGTGGTCAGTTAGGAGTTAAAAAAATGAACTTGATATCTATCTTGAAGAGTCAATAATTGAGGAAGATATGGACTTTGATATACTGAGATGGTGGAAGTTAAATAGTGAAAGATTTCCTATTCTTTCTAAGATGGCTAGAGATGTACTTAGTATTCCAATATCCACAGTAGCTTCTGAATCCACATTCAGTACAAGTGGTAGGGTTTTGGACTGTTTTAGAAGTTCTTTAAGTCCCAAAATTGTGGAAGCCCTTGTTTGTGCACAAGATTGGTTGAGAATGGCTAACCAGCCTATTTCAGTTGAAGAAAACATTGATGATGTAGACAAATTAGAAAAAGGTATAATTGTTGTGCCTTTTCATTTATTTATACATAATTTGTAATATAATGTTGTCATTTTTCAGTTCTAACATTTGTCTTTTTTTATATAGAATTAATGGATGGAAATATTGGTAGTGCTGCTACTGGGGCGATCCTCTATTACCCCATTCAGTGTACATTTTCTGTTTGCATTGCTATTTTTTAACATGAACTCGGTGCATTAATTCTATTTTACATATCAACCTATTAATTATGGGTTGTTGATGCATTTAATATTGAAATTGTGACTCTGACTATGATGCCTCATTATGGAAAAAACTACTATGATGGAATTAAGATTCCAGTGCCCACTTGGTACAATGTTATTGGCCCCTTATCTATTTGTCCCTTGGTCCCTTGGTCCCTTGGAAAGCTTGCATGGTAAACCACTTTTATGTTACAGTTCATACATATGAATAGACATTTGGCAGTGATGAATGTTTCCAGGGTTTTGAGTTTTGACTTTTTACTTTTGAGTAATTGTCCCATGACTCATT